AAGTACATGCATAACTGTTTCAAACTTACTCTACAGCTCTTGAGGTTTCCCAAATGACTGGTAACACACACACACACACACACACATACATACGTATATATATATATATGTATACATATACACACATATATATATATATATGTATACGTTCTAAAAATAACCTGCGATATGTGAAATCCGTAAAGTAGCCAACTTAATTTTTTGACAATTATTATAGATTTTAAGGCTTAAGGCTATTATAGGTTTTTTTAAGGCTACACATTTTATACACTTTTCTCAGACAGGCATGAAAATTTTCACACTTTTCACCCGCAGGTGCCTTTGATGGTGTATAAAAGTTTTGTCAGCATTGGTGCGTTTGTTGGGTAGAAAACTTACAAACTTACAGTACAGCACAGAGTCACACTGCTAGCGATCGATGATTTAGGTAAATTTGACAAGCTGAATGCATTCTGTACTGTACAGGAGACACGGTACGAGATTGATTGATTGCACTGCAAAAAAAAAAAGCATGCAAAATTGCACAAAAAAATCCGCAAAACATATAGCGAGGGACCACTGTATACAAAATGTGTCACTGTCTTTGCCCATAGGAGCAATTTATGTATTATGGGCCCCATGTGTTATGTTAAGTGTATTTCAGATACTGCCAGGACCAAATGCTCTTTTTTGTAAAATAAATGCATAACATTTGGCGTGTGGTTGTGCTGCCAACTGTTTTCGAGTGATGAAAAGTATTCATTCTCCAAGTGAGTAAGATGATATAGATTCCTATCTCAGCAAATGTCACTAGTAGTGAAATTCTAAATACAAACTGTAATGCTTGGCTATTTTTTTCCTGCAGTTTGCTGAGCAGACACTTTCACAGCCTTGTTGAATTTTCTTGCATCAGTAATATTGAACTTAATGCTCAAATCATTTCATTTGTACAAAAAGTGCACAAATAATTTTATTGGCTGGCTTTTAACTGAATCTAGGTTTGGTGCAAGCTGTTCATGAATGATGCCGTAGAGATGGTAAGAAAGGAGGAGTCAGCATGTTATTACAAACACAACCACTACAACCACACTGCTTGCTTTTTCACCCAGAGCCTTCTACTGAAAACATGTTGTTGATAATGGTTTGATGGACTACATACTGAATATTAGGGATGTTCCTACAAATTTGCTGGTCAATTAAGCTGGAGAACAAAAATCAGATGAGGTGGACAGGTCTTAAAGTCATAGAACAGAAAAAAAAAAAGAGCTCAGTCTAATGCAGGGACGTCAAAGTCATTGGACACTGCGGGCCACATAAAGCCCACTTTTAGCTCAAGTCGGGTGGACCAGTTAAACTCCCCTTTCTATCAGTGTAAAGAACTTCTAGTCTAACATAGTGGAAAACACCCTGAGACACACTCGGAGACCAAACATTTCTTAAAAAAATGATGAATGTGAACCTGATTCTCCATGTTTCATTATGCTTACATTGCAGCCAGCCAGTGTATTTGTGTGTTTTCTTTATCCTCTTGTATCAGTGAGTAATCTCATTGTGGTGGCTGTCTGTGTACCGAGAAGAGAGGGAACCCTAGAGCCCTTTTGGAGATGGTAATCAGACAAGATGACAACCAGTGGCCCAGACTGCAAACACTGACCATTGTTACATTCACAGTGTAAAATGCCTCAGCTGGGCGACAGCATGTCACCATCGTGTCATCACACTACCAACACTAGTAGTTCAATTAGTAACACGAGTATCACGGCCTCAAATGTGGATGACAAAACCGACAAATCACAAAAGCGAGACAAATTAACTTTATAGTTTGCCCACTGAAGAAGAGGAAATGAATCTACTCCGTGCAAGCAGCAAAGCACCATGTCTGTCAGGATGAAACTTATTTGTTGCGCTGCTCACTGGTGCGTGATTTCTGGTTACAGAAATGTCACTGACTTTCGGGTAAAATGTATAATTAGACAAACAGGTTTCTGACTAAGAAGTTCTTGGCAGAATGGAGGCTGAAATTGTAGTATTGACACTAAAAATTAAAAAAAAAAAAATCTAACTGCAGTATCATTTCAGATTGGGTATTTTTTCCGTATCTTGTAATCATTGTTCCACATCCTCATCAATTTCCGATAACACCAAAGGGCTTTGTTTGTGATTATTAGCTTTAGTGACGCATAAAAAGTTCCATGTAAGCTGCACTGAACCTCATTAGGTGAAACTGAACATTATATGTAGGGCTGCAGAGCTGTATTTAGATGTTGGTGAATCAGAGGACCACCACCAAACACGTTTTGATCAGTGATTATAGGTTTGTTTTTAGCTGTGCATAATTAACTTTTGCTTTTTACTTGTTGTTTGTTAGTTTCACTTGGAAAAATTCAGCTTTTTTGATTATTAGACCAACTTTGCTGCATATCATCTGTTAAATTTGTTAAACCTGTTAAAGTGTAAAAAAAAGTTTTTTTTGTTTGTTGTATTATTTTTTCTGAGCATACCCAATATTTATAAAATCTGATATTCTTTATTTGAAGTTGGAAATGAACAAATGGGATTGCATTTTACTGGGACAGATATTATTACAACAGGGACAATCAATAACTTCGAGAATATTGATGCTTTACCTGCGTTGCAGTTATGTTTTCTTTGTGGTGACTTTGGCTATTACAGGAGCACAATAATGTTCAATCGAGGCATCAAATATTTGTTACTGACTATATCACATAAATTAGATTGTAAAAATCAGATATTGTGTTTTTCAAGCTGTGCCAGATGCTCTAGCTTTGCAGATTGGTTGGCGTTATTGATTTTATTTGTTTATCAGTTTGAGTTTTGAAACATTCAGGTTTTCTTTAATTTAGAAAATGAGTTTTATCACGTTTCAGTGCTCAGCTGTTTAGCCTGCCATACATCGGATTACCAAGTTTCTGGTTGCTTTGTGGTACATGAGGAGAATTTGAAGGAAAAATATATTTATGTGTCACATTTAAAGATATCAGTTAGTCACTTTTCTTTTTGTTTTGTTGTAAAAATCACACTGCTGTCATGGCAGTCTGGGTGTTAATCAGACCAAAGGCTTGCACCTGTAATTAAATAGCATTTCCAACTTGTAAGCAAGACAAGAGTCTGTTTATGTGACCCACCCAGGTTATTAAGTTTTTCTTTTTCTTTTTTCTTTTTTGCTCATTTGTGGTCATTGTTATATCCAAAGCTGCTGGCTGAAGATGTTTTTTGGCGGACATTAAGTGTTGCAGCTCAGAACTAATTTCACTAATTACTGTCATCAGTAAATCTGTGAATTATTTTCCTCCAGATTTTTTTTCCTGAATAAAATATTAGAAAATGAACAGCATATGCAAATATCTTGTTTTGTTCAGACAACCACCCGAAACTCAGATATATTTCTTAATAATGAAAATTGAAAAAGGAAAAAAAAAACCCACAGAAAACATTTCAAGCTGGAAAAGCCAGAATAAAAGAGAAGTGCATTTTTTTTTTCATTATTATTATTGTGCTGTTGTCAAACTGGTAAACTTAATCACGTTGAGAAAATTAAAAAAAATATGGGTGGTAGATTTGTTTTGACAAAGAAATAGGTAGATATAGGAGTCATACTATATTATATATATTATATATTTTATATATAGTATATTATATATAATATAGGGCAGCACGATGGCACGGTGGTTAGCACTGTTGCCGCACAGCAAGAAGGTCCTGAGTTCAATTCCAACATCAGGCCGGGGTCTTTCTGTGTGGAGTTTGCATGTTCTCCCCGTGTTTGCGTGGGTTCTCTCCGGGTACTCCGGCTTCCTCCCACCGTCCAAAGACATGCAGCTTGTGGGGATAGGTTAATTGGATAATCCAAATTGTCACTAGGTGTGAATGTGCGAATGAATGTGAGTGCGAATGGTTGTCTGTCCCTGTGTGTTGGCCCTGCGACAGACTGGCGACCTGTCCAGGGTGTACCCTGCCTCTCGTCCTATGACAGCTGGGATGGGCTCCAGCGCCCCCTGCGACCCTGAAAAGGATAAGCGGAAGCGAATGGATGGATGGATATATAGTATAATGTATTTAATTGTCAGATGTTATACTGTAATGTTAATGATTTAAACATTGCCATTGGAAAATGTGAAAAACAGTTACATTCGATATTTGCTGAGTAGGATATTATTGTTGTGAAATAAAAATTATACAATGCTTTTATAAGGTGTTGTAAGTGCATGAACGCTGCACATGGGTCATTTTAGTCCTGGTAGGTGGTTGCCAGGCAACATGATAGCATCATGTCACATGGATAAAAGTTATATCTGTGTGATGTACCTATGTGCCAAATTTGGTTCATTAGGTGTCAGTCTTGTGGAAGGAATTCACAGGCAAACAGAGACACAGAAATTTAATTTGTTATAGTACGATTAGTTGGATATATTATTAGTTCACACGTGAACTCTTTCCTTTATCTGTAACACATATTCTAATGTAATCTAATTCATTATGGATTATAATAACTTTTATACCAAAAAAAAAGTTAGAAACGTAAATTGGACAAACACAGATTTATATAGATTGTTCTCGTGCTTGTCTTTTGCTACTTACAAAATAAATATTCCGTGCGGAAACACACAAACTCTTTACATAATTGAAATGTCTGAAAATTCCCAAAAACAGATTCGTAATTATGAAAAAAAAATTGCCAGCAAATCTGTAAGAAATCAAAGCCTTTAATGTTAAAAAAAGGTTCATATATTTTCCACACATTTCCAATGTTCTAGCCATGCCAGAACAGATGTGTAAGAAACATTTTTTTATAGTTAAAAAGATTACAAAAGCAAATATAAATATAAGGGTCATTATATACAGTGAGTTATAAACAGAAGATGTCGTGTTAAACACAACCACAGGGACACTAAATAAACCAGTGTTGTTTGAGTGAAGTACAGGTACATGTGGTATGGGTACACTGAACTGTGAGGGTAATCGTGACTTTCTGACTGAGTTGTGCTCTCTGTTTCTGACAGGTATGGATGAGCGGACCACCCAAGCATCTTGGACCCCAGGTGGCGAGTCCAGTCCTTCCTATGAGTCCAGTCCTTCTTATGAGTCCTCACGGGTAAGATGACCCACACGATAATGCTCCTGAGTGACCTTTCTGCTCCACAGCACATCGTTTAACACTTACTATAACAAAGACCTTATCCCAGCACCATTGTTGCTGTTGGACCTATGATAGACATGTATTTGTGTGACAGACGGGACCAGCAAAGGTTAGAAAACACTGGAATCTGGTGTTATTCTTGAGCTTCCTTTTAGTTTAAAAAATATTTCAGTTCAGGCTATATTTAAATGGTGCTTGTTATTCATTTCCACAATGAGGCAAGGTCTTTTTCAATAACATAATAAGACTTTTGATAAAGGGATTGATAAAATAATCCAATCCCTGTCAGAAAGTAGATGACTAAATTAAAGATATAAATGAAAGATTAAAAAAAATACCCTGTCACGATTTTGCAAAACTAAATCGGCAGTTTGAGTGTCTAATACTGAGAGTAGTGAAAATATCCGCATGTTAAATTAAATATGGGTTTGTTTCTCCTTTTGTTGGTTAATTGAACAAAATATACTTATTTTTAAATCATATAAAACAGAGAAATGCAGGCAAAATAATCTAATTTGAGAATGTAAAATGCCAAGGATTAATCTGTTACCAAAATAGTTGCAAGATTTTTATCTGTTGATCCACTGATTCAGTCAGAAAACTGAGCTTCAGAATAAGCAGGTGCTTTTTGCCGTACATTTAAAAACTTTACTCTCCATGAAAACAAGACAATATTATGTTTATTATGTTATAAGCTGCATTGCAGGAAAATATGGTTTGTGATCATCTCCGCAGGCCAATCAGCCTGTCTGTAAATGTAAATGTTTAATGTTAGTCCTTTTTTAAATCATGGCAAATGATGGACTTTAAAATTAAAGGATCAACTTATTCATGGATGCATATCCGAAGATATTTACAGAAAACAATATTTTTAGTTATTTTCTTCATTCTGTCCATAACTAATATCTGCTGATATCCAGCACTCTGCTACCCTGCACTATGCACAGTTAGTTCAGTACAATTTAGCCTATGATCTCAGGCCTGTGTGAAGTAGAAATGAGAAATTTGTTTAAATTTGTCACTTTAAGGAGTGTAAATTAACATGATATGTCATGGAATTAAAAATTTTTAAAGGTCATGTAGCTTTATTTGTGATGACCTAATCCACTGTAAATCGTATCTTCAAAATATTCTCAAGTGTAGTTCATTTGTAAAATAATGAACAAGATGTGTGCATGTTCGTTTCCATGTGAAACTGTATCTCTTTGTTTAAGTGAGAACATCTCACTGTTTGTGTGAGCAAGTGTGAACAGCTCTTCCCGTTTGTTTGTCCCTCACACATTGGTTGTTCTAGATGCCCTGTATGAATTTCATTTAATGTCAATCTCCTGTCACTTTCTATTAGAATTCAGTTAAATGTCAGAGCCACTCGAGCTGCGTTACCTTGTTTATTTCTCTGTGCCCTTCCCGAATGAACATCTACAGGCTATGGTAACATAGGCAGCTTGATTTGAATTATAAGACTGAGACGCTTGAGATATCTTTGCTCCAGGTGCATATAAATGAGTGATTCTGACATTACAAGGCACACCATCAGCCAGCAGACAGCTGTTTGCACCTCCATAAGGCGTGCATGTCAACACTCACACACAGCTGCGTACGTACCTTACAGATTTGATTTATATACCCTATAGAATATTATATCCCGCATATGCTGGTTTAGGAAAGAAGTGGCTTTTCTTGTAAAGCTCAATAGACTATAGTAATCTGTCCAGACAGTTTCAGGTTTTTCAATGAATAATGTATTTTGAGATTTTTTTTTAATACAGTTCACATAGTTTTGATGTCTGCTCGCAAACATTGTTGACCATCTGAAAGGTGACCTAATTAGATTCAAAGAAAAGCTGCATATTTAAAAAAAAAAGTTTTTTTGTTATTATTATTTACCGCAAGAAAAATACTCATGAAATAACTAAATAAAAGGAAAGAACTGAATTAAAAACGAATAACAAAAAATTTCACAAAACCAAAGCCTAAAGAAAATAATAAATACATCATCAGTTAGGGCTGCACGTTTAATCGTTAGAAAATCGCGATCTCGATTCATACTTATGTGCGATCTCATTTCCAAATGACAACGATTTAAAAAAAAAAAAAAAAAAAGACGACGACGATTGTACCATATTTTGATCCGGGACGTAATCTGCATGAAAACAAGCGCTCACTCTTCCTGCTCAACAAATGACAAGGGCGGAGCCTTATACCACGTGATACAGAAGCTGTGCCGTGTGATGCTAAAATTAGCAGGGAAAAAACAACGGAGAGCACGTCAGGGATGACGAGAAAGTGACAGGAGAAAATCCGTCCCGGTCAACCACCCAAACATCAATAACGGGAACCTTATGCAGCGCTTCCCTATACCCGTCGAACTCCCGCAGGCACAAAGAAATTACGGAGGCTATCACTTATCACCTGACCAAAGATATGGCTCCCATCAACACTGTGCAAAACGAGGGATTTAGGGAAATGATCAACACTAACTAATGATTAAATGCAGAGTGCTATATAAAGAAATGGTGAGTAAAGAGAGGTGTCTGTTGCTGTCTTTCATTGATTTTGGTACATCAAGACACGACAAGACTGATGCCTGCTGTCTATATTCCCAGAAATTCACATTAAAAAGAGATTCAATTATTAACCACTTCTGGTCCTGTTAGAACCTCATATAGAATAGAGAACATAACCTTTCAACCAGTTGCCAACCAGTTGAGTTGGGTCCCCACTGCAAAGAGATTCATTGCAGATGACTTAAGCTCACTGGCACAGACTGACTAAGATTGATTACAGTGTGCTGGCAGTCCATCTATGTTTATAAAATAGACAGTGGTTACTTATAAAGCGCCACTCATCTGTGAGTGATTGCGTGCAGTCCAAGTCAGACCATGACTTTTTGGAGACACTTTGCTACGTATTGTGCAATCACTTTGTGATCAAAAGTGGTCACCCTGAGGTTAAGGGTGTTGCATGTGCAGTAAGCATTCAGTGCGGTCACAGGGCAGCCAACTGATTTTTCCTGTCACAAGGAGGTTGCTGTAGGTTTTTACTGTTGAATGACTGAACCATATCATGGTCATCTCAGGCACCAAAGGCTGCTATTGAAACTTAATGTTAACAAGGTGCAGCACAATGTTGGCTTAAAGAGTGTTGAACTAAAAAAGCTTGTTTCAGACAGTGAATGAACTAAACAGGTGCAGCAAAGAAAAATTATAAGGTAAAATAGGGAATATTTTAAACTTGAAATCATGGAAAGCTACTGTAGTAGAATGAAAGAATAAAAATATAGGGGCACACATGAGCATAACGGTCCACTTTGAGGCATAACTGCACTAAATATTAATATCACAGCAAAATCTCCTCATGTCATGATATATGTGCTTGTTGCACGGCATAGCTACGAGAACACTGCTTTAATTTACATTTTAAACAGCAGCCCTGACCACAAGCCCTTACCAGACGTCACTACAGGAGTCTCAGTAATGGTGGGCTGTTAGTAGGTAAACCATAACACTGTTCTTGGCCAGGCAGGCAAAGGAAACCACAGCAACCAAAGTCTGAACACAGCATGGCTGAAGTAATAACCCCAGCACTACTAAATAAATGACTGTGTGTGGCAGTACTGAACTCACTGAAGAAGCCATAGTGTTCATGTGCTTTGTAATCGATAACAGCTAAATAATGATTGATTAGCATAGTGTTTTGCTTAAATTTACCTAAATGAAAGCTTTAAAATAATGAGGCACCTGCAGTGGAAATGGATATGATGTATGATGCAAATTTGTAGACAGGCTAAATATTAACATTGTTATTTTCATAAATGGAACATTTAATTTGTTTGTTTCAGATCCATTTTTCCATTTAGAACTAATCTGTCTTACGTTTCCTGTAACCAATTTTCTAGCCTTGTTTTTTAACTTAATATAAATTTGCACACAAGAGACAGACAAAGTGAATAATCTTGGCTAATTTAACCTAATTGTAATCATTAATTATAAGCATTAGTAAGGGAGTATTGTTGTGATGATGGGAATTACTAACTTGTCAATGTCTTTTCTTGAACCTGAGCACTCAGGACAGACCATAACCAAAACAGGCCGATATTAAAATCAGGTGGTGCCAGTAAAAGTTAGAGTAACTCGGATTTCTGTGATTGCCAACTTTGCATTTACAAACCATCTAGTGAAAGATATTGTGTAAAGACTGAGATTTCTGGATAATATAATTCAAATACATCTGTTTACTGAGTTCCATTTGCTGAATCACCTATCCCAGCAAGAGCCTGACATTTGCATAGGCAATTTATAGAAGCTGTTCCACTAAGATAAACTTTTAAAAATCTATTTGCAATTAAACCATCATTTATATGTTTCTGCATCTTTACAGAAGATGAGATTTTTAAATTGAGCTGCAGAAATCTTGCTGTTTTCCCCTTTTTCCTGAATTTTTTTAGGCAGAGACAGAACAGTAGAACAGACTCTTGGATTGTTCTTATCTCAGGTGAAACTTTGGAGATTTGATTCAGTGTAATTTATAGAACTTATTAAATTAGTATCAAATAACTAAATTAAAAACAAGACTTACTTTCTAAGATTTCCCAGTTTTTCTCTGTTCATTGTATCTGTCCAAGGCTCGTGGAAAATAATCTGAGTGCTTCATCTTTCAGTGTGTTACAAAGGGAATTCAGTGTTGTCCCTGAGCTTGTTTGAGCTGCTGCTACGAGTGTGTGACCAGTCGACTGTGAACAGTCCCGAGCCCTGGCGTGCTGACCTTGGCTCCCAGCCATTCGATGTATCCTGGGCAGCTGTGGCTGTAGGCTGGCGGTCTGACAGGCAGGGCTGTGCCCACCGCCACTACACAACAACCCCCACTTCCCTAGTGCCCTGCCCCAACTTGATACTCGACCCCACACGCATCCATCATGACCATATCATTACTTCCCAAGCTGCCACATGCAGCCA